ACTATTCCATAAGTCTACTCCACGTCTGCTTTTAACAGCGGTTTGAGAGAATAGTTTTTTGATGGTTCGTTTAATCTTTCAGGTTGTATTTGAATTAATTTTTGCAAGACAGTTTTTCAGCATTATCTGGGAGCAGGTTGAGTTTCGCTTTAAATAAGATTTGGCAGGTTTTAAATTTTACCAGGTCCCCAAATTTCAGTGTTTTTGATTGGCAAAAAGTTCATTCGTATGTTCTCTATATCCAACTAAGAGAGCAATTCGTATTGCTTTTTTTTTTTTTTTTTGTAATTTAAGCAATACGTCCATGTTACTTTTATAAGAATTTCTCCAAACCTCTACACAGTAACTTAAATGGGGTAAAATATCATAAGTATGGACAAATACAGATGATTTTGCTCTTTTATATCAATGCAATAATGGATACAAAAACAATTCTACAAACTATATATGATGTTTCATGCTGTAGTTTCTCAAAAAAAATCATTGAAACTGAACTGTTACTTTATCTACTGGTACCAGTCCAACAGACGACTGAAAATGAACTCTCTTGGCTGAGGTTATAAAAGAAATTCTTGGAAAACAAGCTTCCACTTCATTATTGACACGAGCTAGGTGCCATTAGCATTGTACGCGATGCCAAATTTGAATAAGGTTCAGACCTCTTGCCGCTAATGAGCCTTAAAATGATGCTAGTCCCATAGTCACATCTGTGCGAGCTTAAAGGAGCCTCTACTTATTATGCATCTCTCGTATCGCGTCTTCCCATATGCAAACTTAGACTATTTCTGCGCGCCGACTATTCAACTTGAAGTGTTTTAACTAAAGGGGACTGCGCTACCCATGGGTCCATTCATTCTCTTCCTCGACGCTGGCACGGAGCAGGACTAGCTCCCCCCTCCTCCCAGTGGGTTTGAGTAGGCCTGTAGCTTATTCACCATATCTCTAATTGCCACTAAGGGAGGCTGCGGCGCGCGTAGCATGTAGCGGCGCACCAGCCCACAATGGACATTTCAATGAGTAAATCCAACATTAGGGAATTAATTAGGCAGAAAACAATGGGTCATAAGAGCGCTAACGACAGAATAACAAGGCTCACGCGCTTACTTGGTGCTCAGCCCACATGCCGCGCTGCTGGGAGGATGCACTATGCTAATTAGCTGTACAGTTAAGCTATGGCCTTGTTAGACTAAATATAAGGTACAAGCAATGTTTTTACCGCTAAACATGCTGATTTTACATAAGGGCTGACTACAAGTTAATGCTAAGGAAATGTAGTACAGAATTATATAAGCTATTTTGGAGGGCATGTGTAAATGCGGTAAAATACTCCAACAACCACATTTTAATAGAAATACTTGGGCAGTACCTGGACGACTAAATCGGAGAGGAGGAGGGACCAGGTCTGGAGGCAAATGTTTGATTGGTTAAACAGGTATCCACACACACACAAACTCCACCCCTGTAATCAGAAAGACCTGGGCGTAATGAGAGCAGTCTTATGTGATGTCACCAACTACTTGAAATTGCAGTGGCTTCTCGAAGCAGCACATGCACAGTTTTGTTTATAACCACAAAGCTGCAAATGTACCTAGTCTGTATTAAAATTACCAAATGGCACTAGGAACCGTAGACGTTGCCTATATAACAGTAGTAGTAGTAGTTTATTTGGTCATTTTGCAGCACTACAAAACAAAACAAAACATAGACTACAACCCCATGGATCATGACCGAAAGGGTTTAGGCTGAAGTAAAAGTAATTATAACTCCAAACATTATTAAACAACGACAGAATTCCAAGAAAGAAAAGCAGCGTATGAACAGCAAGTTTGCATTTACAGTTTCACTTACGACTTACTGTATATATAAGAAAAAAATATAGAAATCAAAACAAACTAAATTTAATGCATAATTCATTCATTCAAGAGCTCTATATCTTTCAAAACATAAAGCTTTATACTTGTAAGGGTGTGAAACTCAAATTCACAAAGGGACAAAATTAAAAACTGGGATTAAGTCGTGGGCCAAACTAAATATTTATTGAACATTTTCAACAACATCTGCATATTTTCTGTTCTTTTGAGATATGTAATGTTAAACCTTTTCTTATTAAAATAAATGTCTAATAATATTTTTGCCTAAACACTGAATCCAGAACAACCGTAATATAAAATAATAATAAAATTAGTAAGGAAATAATGTCTCTATAGCTCATCTGTAGTCAGCAGGCCATCTGCCGTACAAACTAATAATAATGTTATATAGAATATAGCTGCAAAAATGTGTAAATGTACTACTACATTACTACATTAGTCTTTAATAGCACTTTTTAAAGAACCTCAGTCCCTTTTTATTTTCACATATTATTTATTCACTGCACATTTGGAGGTAAACTACTATTGTAGCCACAGCTGCCCTGTGGTAAACTGATGAAAGTGAACTCAATCTGCATTTTCTGCCGCTCCAGCCACCACCAGTCACTCTCACATTCATAGGCAGGGTGGACAAAGTGTCTTGCCCAAGGGCACCACAACAGTATGCACTAGACTAAAGTCTCTCGTATTCCTAGCATGTCTCCCATTACCGGGCACAACTTTGATCTCCTTGTATTGACCAGGTTAGTTTGACTAGTTTGAGATGTGTTGTATCTGTTTATTTTGAAATAAATTTCAACACTCTTGATTAGTCTACATAAAGTTTATAAAATGTGTTTGAATAGCCAATACTAGATATTAAAACAGAGAAGTTAGTTTATTTAGTTTTTACACAAAACTGCAAAAAACAGATAGAACAAAAACACCCCCTAATATGAAATTTCAATTGAACTAAATTGCTAAACTAATAATGCTCTAACATAGAATAATACTCAAATAAAAACTGGTTGATTTCATGTCCCATTCTAATAAAAATCTTTGTTTGTGCAACCTTCTGAGATCCATTTATTTATGTTGTTGTGAGCTGGAGCACATATTTTATCAGTTTATCGGAGTTTTCGTTTTTCTTTCTGTTTAAAAAGCTGCCCGCTGCTTTTGGAAACGAGAGAGCACAGCCAGAGCGAACTAAACACAAATCAAAACAGAAGATTCGGAGCTAAAGGGGGTCCGAGATGTGCTGCTAATGTTCAACAGTCCATCCTACCAGCGTTTTGAATTATAATAATCACAGTATGCAGTGTAAATACAAGTGAAAATAGGCTTAAATGACAGAATATTAGAAACTAGACTGTTTATCAAACTAAAATGTGTCATATTGAGTTCTTAATGCAATCTTGCTGTACATTGCTTTCTTTGAATCTTTGAATTGCTTTTTCATACCATTGAAATGGATCAAGACTGGAACATTGTGGCCAGATGTCTGTAACAACTTGCTTACAGTGCTTTCTGCTAAATAAATTATAACTCAGAAGTCTGACTCACTCAGATTTGAAACTTTTAACTTTACATGTGATGTTTCTTCTCATACATTATGGAATTGGCTGTTGACTATGCCTTTATTTTTTAATTCTCATTTAATTGCGATGATACGTTTCTTTTGTATTGTTAAAGTTGGTCCAAATCAAACTAGAGTAATCAGATAATCCAAAAATTAGATGTGATTAGATGTTTTGGTCGAGTAATGATTGTATTTGGAAGACAAAGTATGATGATTTTTTTAAATGGAAGTTACAGATTAACTATAACCCTCAATCATAGAAAGTGTCTGTATAGGTATATACCAATAAGTATGAATACTAACATGTACATGGTGTTTGTGTGTGTGAAGATCGACGTGTATTGGATTGTGTGTGTGTGTGTGTGTATACCAAAAGAACTAAGTACATATTCTTTCCTGCACTAATAAAAGATGAGTTTTGTGTTGTTTTCTGTAAATAGTTCTGCCGTCTTGTATCCCTCTCTATATGTTAATAGGGTTAGGCAAAGTGAGCAAGTGTTTAAATTTCAGCCTAAATCCCTTTGGTCTGTAGAATAACTTCAGTGATATGCATAAAACTGCATAATTTCTGTGTTAAATCATTGTAATATGATGTATGATTATGTTCAATGACCGAAGAAAAGAAACAAACTAAACTAAATAACTCTTTCAATCCTTACCATCTTACATTTCTGTGTTTGCCACAATAATTTGCTTTTTGCATAATTTTCCCTTTCAACACCTGAGTCCACGTGTGAACAGTTAAAAAGAAATCAGGAGCGACAGTAGCTCAGTTGGGAAAGTGTTTGACCTCTGATCTGAAGGTTGGCAGTTTGAATCCCACTCTCAACATAAACGTCATTCGTAGACCAGTCATATCCACTAACGCACAGGTCCGTGGTGTGATTCCAGCTCCCACAGATGAATGCGGTTGTTGTGTCTGTGGGCAAGACACTTAACCCCCCTCGCCCCCAGTGTCTGTGTACCTTGGTGTATTTTTGTGTGTGTGAACGGGTGACTTGTTCCTTGATGTGAAGTGTTTTGAGCGCCTTGAAGATGGAATAGCGTTAAATAGAAATTTACCATAACATTTATCATTACTTACATCAAATGCAACTGTAACATGACATTTCAATAATCTGATAACTCCAGAAATCAGATAATGAACAGATTTCTGGTGTGCATTTAAACATAGTGTAGCCAATGGAGGCTAAACATTTTTGGCCCATTTTCCACTATGAGATTTTAGATTCAGTCTCATTTGTGCTCCTTTTCTTAAACCTAGGATACGAATGCAAGCTCTTATTATTGATCAGCGCAGTCTTCATTTAGTTTTAATCAATCGCAAACCCTTGTGCATTGCATTGCAACATAGAATGTTTTAAGATGAGTACATGTTTTTTGTGTTATTTCTATCCAACCGTGTTTCATTTTGCCATCCAAAAAAAGCTAACAAAAAATTAATGAAAGTCTGGTTTGTAAGAGCGAGGAACAAGGTGCTTCCTCCTTTCATGGTTTCTATTCTAATATAAATAGTAATACTAATAAGAGTAGATTTAAGAGGGTTTTTAAAAGTGTTTCTATATTTCCAGGTTCGGCGATGGCTACACTCTGATCGTGCGGGTAGGGGGCGCTTCTCCTGCCCTGACTCCTGTAGAAGTCTTTGTTTCACAGACGTTTCCTGGCAGCGTCCTAAAGGAGAAGCACCATAACACACTGCAGTACCAGCTTCCACGCACTCCCGGGGCTCTGGCCAACATCTTCCGCCAGCTGACAGTGCACCAACACAGGCTGGCCATCGACGACTACTCTGTGTCCCAGACCACGCTGGACCAGGTGAGAGCCAAACACACGTTTAGACCAGAGCAGGCTGAGCAGGGAGCCTCATTATCTCCAAACTGGACTCATTTAAGTTTAAGCACATTACAGAAATGCAAATGTAGTTTTTCCCACAGCACTTGTTACCTCTGTTAAGGACTCGTGTTCATAGAATATTATGCAAAATACTACGTTCACTTTTAAGCTAAGTGAGAGTAGCATTTTGCCTCTACACTCTCTGCTGTTCATAGCTTATTACAGTGGGACTCTTCTAGTAGCGTGTCTGCTATAGCTCCTCTGGAATGTTCGATGTTATAGAAAACGGAGGAGTTGTCACAAAGTCAAGTTACAGGTCAGATCTGTTGAGAGGCAAGCCCATACAGTAAAAAATATGATTTTCAAGGTATTTGTGAGCAATGAAATCATAATATGTGAAACATTACAGGCAATGCGAATCATTCACAGACTCTAGGTGGTGGGCCCTGTATCAGAAAAATTACTTATTGTAGCTTAAACTTTTAGTTTAGAAGCCATTTGGGATTCAACAGTGACTGAAATATCGTTATATCGTATCATCAAAAGTCTCACAATAATAATGTGGGCTGTCACAATATATTGAATTACAACTGCCTTTGTGTAAATACATGGTTTTATAGTAGCAACAGCTTATAAACATTGGGAACTACATATCCCATGATTCATTTCAGTGCAGAAAACATGAAGAAATATGTTTTTGACTTGAATTCTTGGGATTATGATGGAAATAATTCACACCAAAATTTTGTGAAGGCATTTTAAAAGCAAAAAAGTGTCCTATCTACAGTTACATTAGCCTCTTCAAAATATCGCAAATATCGTACCATGAGATGCATATCGTGATAATATTGTACAGTGAGTTTAGGATATCGTTACATCCTTAGAAGCCATAGACTTAAGACTTTTGGGTTAAAGATGTATCTGTACACTGATATAAAATAAGATAAGAAAACCTGGGATTGCATTGTCAGTATCATTGATTTTCAATATAAGTTTGTTTAATATGTGAAGGTATTTTAGAATAAATAAAGTGATTTGTATCTGATATCCTCTGTGGTGTGCAGAGCAGTAGAGCGTACAAACATCTCCCTCTGCATCTCCAGTCTGAATCTGGGACCTGTCTGATGTGAGGCCAGGTGCTCCAGACCTGGTCAGTGAGATAAACCAGGCGCTGCAGAGCACAGAGCTGCTGCTGTTTTTCACATGGCCCCAGGGACCCGATGTAATCATGCTCTTACACATGAGAGCGCTCCTGCAGGCGCCTGTTAGCTCAGTGTTAGCTCAGTGTTAGCTTAGCGTTAGCTCAGCAGTGGACAAGAGACAAGGGCAGAGCTGACCCCACTGTCGAGGTCACCACTGCAGCGCTTATTAAAATGAGAGCTACAAGTTACACTGGGCTAAAAATAGATTTCAAGATTTAAGATATAGGTCTCTGATTTACTAAGAACTAGGCCTGTAAATCAATTATTCGTACAATAACTTTTAACAAGCCCAATAACTTTTCTGGCTGCAGTAATTTCTATTTGCATGCTTGTTTGTTTTCCTTGTCTCTCTCACTCTACAAAAGAGACTGAATGTCAAAAGGCTTCTATCGGTCCTCTACTGACTCGTCGTTTCCTTAGCATAATGGCGCTTGGACGAACGTGTCAGTGTAAACTATAGACTGCTTATTTGTTTATCAACACAGCGGATGCGCACGCAGCCTGAGTGCAGAAAACGCCGGTTTAACATGAAGCCGCAACACAAGCTAGTGCCGTTGTCAGAACCAAAACAGTTCATCGCCGTGTGACAAAACAAGTTACGATGCCAAATCAACATGAGTGAGTGGGACACGTCTCAACGCCGAACATGCGCCAAATGCAGCGAGGGCGCAAACGACGAGAAGCAATGGCTCATACACCCAAACCCGACCAAAACAACTTGCCCTGCCCTCGAGAGAGCCCCAAATCCAGTAAAATCCCACAAGACACCGGCACGATACCAGACAGGACAGCAGCTCCCTCATAGAGAAACATAATCCTGTGTCGTGGGTTAATACGAACACTTCAAGACCAAAATGCCGAGGCTCACAGCAGCAACCACAGACAGAGCAGCCACAATATTCCACTTTAAGTCGATGACTAAAATAACTTTAAGGGCAATTTTGTTACAGAAACTTAATAATCCATTTTATTTACTGTTTTGGTTGTGTTTGGTTCAACAATTCTTTATTCAAGTGCATTTTTTTAACAAGTTCTTGCTGTAAACCAGACTACATTAGGCTATTCTTATGTTAAAAGTCTGTTTTATTTAGGGCTATTGTTTTTGGTTATGTTCCTGTGTTAAATGTTCTTTAGAAAGTTTATTGATCTTCGAAAGAGTGTATCTGCATTTTTATTCCATTGTCATTATATTAGTTGAAAATGGTCTCAAAATGTCAATATTATCATTTATCGCAAAAATTTCTTGGTCAGTTAATTGTCCAGCAAAATCTGTTATCGTTACAGGCCTACTAAGAACAAAACAGTTGTAGAAATATATTGCATGGGCTACATTATTGTTTCCTCTGACATCTTTTTGCAGTATCTGTTGAAGATGATTATACTTGAAAAATATTCTTCCAAAGATTTATTAACTTAGCGTGACTTAAGCTTCAAATATCTCTCAGTGCTAATACATTTAAACAAGCTGTTATTTTGGTGTGCTTCAGAATAAAACTAGAATTATTTGGCGTATCAAAAATAATACGAACGTTCACAGATATTTTTCTCGCGATAAACGTACAAACTCAATCCAAATAATTGAGTAAGGTTCAAAATACAAGGCTGCATGTGTCTAATTAAAAGTGTTTGGAGGTTTTAGGTCAGTAGTAATGGCGCACACTATCGCTAATCCTCTAAATTGCAGCCCCATTGTGCAGTGTTATCCGTGTGTGTACAAATCCTTCTAATGACGCTTCAGCTGATACAATCTTGTAGTAGAACGGACTCCCAAAGCCAACTCTCCATCTCCGAATCCCAGCTCTCCGAATATGATGAGGAAAACAAGCCAGCGCATCAGTGAGCATCAGTCCAATACCAACCAGAGTCACACACCAATGAACACAATGCATAATTTCTCTAGTTTAGTTTCTGTAAAGCACAAAAGCTGTAGTTCGTTTGGCTTTATTTGTCCACTATATTCTCCACCTATCCTCCCAGTGCTCTCCCCACACTGAAACCCGACGCAGCGCTTTGAAAACCGCCTGCCTCCTCCTTGATAACCTCTACAACCCACTGGCCTGTGTCAATGATTGTTTTTCTTCAGCAAGTTTTGGATCACAAGTCTTGGCCGTCTCAATTCAGGAAACTTCAACATTTAGGATTTGGATGAGACAGTACAAAGACCAAATTTCAATTATAGAGTCGTTTTGTAAGTGAGAAAAATCTGTCATTATGAACTTACAAAGGTGCACTGTGTAACTTTTCTTGTACAGTGTCCGCTCTCTGCATGACTATGTTGAAATGTTATTCTCTTGCCTCGAATGTTTTATTATATGGCATTAAATTTATCTGGTATCTATTATTTATTGCCAGAAATGCCTTGAAAACTTGCTTACTGGGAGCAGACTTGCCTCTTCTGAGATCTGACCTGTAATTTGACCTGTTTGTGTCAATACATTTAGGCTATGTTCAGACTGAAGGGCTTAATGCTCAATTTGGATTTTTTGTGGAATTTGATTTTTTTGCGAGGTTGTTCACATTTCCGATTAAATGCAACTTGTATGTGATCTCCAGTGTGAACTTTAAACACCCCTAAAGTGTCCCACATGTGCACTGGAGGACACGACGACGTCACACACAGTGAGTCTGCTCAGTGTTTACAGAAGTCGCCTAAACGCTGGGCTTGTCTCCCAAAATACGGTCCAGTTCTTCGTAAAATGGACAGGTGACACGTCCACGGTCACTTCATTTCTTTGAGTCTTTAGCCTCCTTGTATTTGGCTCGCAGGCTCTTTATTTTTTGTTGACATTGGGGCCAGGACCGCCTGTAGCCAGACTCGGACATTTCTTTGGCAGTCATTTCAAAAACTGCCTGGTTCTGATAAGACCGCTCCAATTTGGCCTGAATACAGTGACCTCCCCCCATATATTAATCAACTTGCTAACCTCACTTTCCCTCCATTGGTTAGACTCCGAGCTTGACATGTAGGTGGGATGAATTTGACCTGACCGTTCAGACTGAAGTCGCATGTCAGGAGGAGCACATGTCCAAGTGGCCTGGGTCGCATTTGAAAAAAATCGGATCTGTGTTGTCATTGTCATGGTTATTAAAAGATCAGATACAGGAGCATAGTGGCGATAAAATTGGATGTGGGTCAATTCAGGCTGCAGTCTGAACATAGCCTTAATGCCACACTGTGGAAAAGTTACCAATACTGAACCGTTAAAGGGCCTATATTATGACATTTTCTGCAATGTTATAATGTTGATTCCTCATCAAAAAACATTTTTGTTTCAGTCACAGTCAGTCGTTGACAAATCCTGCATATTTAAACAGAAAACACACTGTTCCACCTTGTGATGTCATGTGGTAATACTGGAGGTGCTCTACTGTATTTTTAAACTTTCACCTTAAACATAAACCTTCACTGGAATCATTTGGATAATTACAGCCCTGGAATTGAAAATCTCTAAACTAAAGGTAAAAAGCAGCTGTTAATGTGAAAACTACCATTTCATGACATCACAAGGTGCAACAGAGCATTCTGAGCTTTGAAGATGTAGACAGACTTATAATAAAGGATTACTCAAAAATGTATTGTCAGGTGCAACAAACAAACAAATCATTATAGCGAATATTCTTAAACAGAGGTTGCACATATATTAAAAAACAAAAAAAAAAAGACGAAATATTGCAATTGTTCAGATATGTAAAATAAAAAGATCAAGTGTATTAACTAAAATGATTGTAAAAAATTATCTGAAAAATAAAAATTAAACACTTTATTATTATTATTAACCTTTAATTCCATCTAAACATGGTTGTCAAAATATTTTTAAATAAATAAATGTGTCTGTTTTTGTCCACTCACCCCAGATAGATAGAATTCCTAGACATTTTCTGTGGCGGTTAACTTGACCAAAACATCTCAACAGTTATTGGAAAATCCCTGACCTCTTGTTGTAACTTTTAACTAAAGGACAAGTCGCCCCATCTGTGCTCAATATTTACCAAATAAAGGCAGTAAATAAATCATTGGTGCTGCGTCTGGACAGCGTATTAAAATCCAGGGGGCGCCGTGAGAAACCTGTGAAGACCAGAGCGTCACCTTTCAGCGTGTGATTTATAGAGAAGAGGCTTGACCTATGGAGCAGCGGCCGACCTGCTCCACAATTACTATTGATCCACAGCAGGCCAGAGCCGATGGTCAGGACCGGAGCAGCGCAGGGCAAAACAAAGGGGGGAAAACTCATGGTACACAGACAGAAAAGACTTCTGGAAATATTTGGAGCTACAATTTTCTGTTCAATAAATATGGCCGAAGTTTGTTCTATACCGTCTAACAAGAAAGTCCAGAAAACAAAAAAGTTAAAACTGGGTCTGTGATTTTCAGAAAGAGAGAAAGTAGTTATACTTCTTTGGCATCAACTCAAAACTATGAACTATGATGAAGGATGGGTCAAATGCAGTCAAATAAATGTCCTTCAACAAGGGATCAATTAAGTATACCTAATATTACAAATTTATTGAGTTGCTGCTTTTACCGTATATTTTTGGACTTTAAGTCGCTCCGGTCCGGAGTATAAATCGCACCAATAAAAAAATGCACAATGAAGAAAAAAAAAAACATATATAAGTCGTACTTTTTGGGGGAACTTTATTTTATAAAATCAGACCAGGAACCGACATTTCATCTTGAAAGGCAAGTTATAGTAATAACAATAGAACAGAGAACAACAGGCTGTTAATAACACAACAGTTCTTCAGATAACTATAGCATAAACAACATAAAAGAACAAGTTTACCAAACTCTTGATCTCTCTCCAAATCACTAAATCCATTAAATTCTTCATCCTCTGTGTCACTTCTGAGCAACTCCGCGATCTCTGCAGGTAAACGGGCTGCTGCTTCCTCTTCTGTGTAGCTGTCGTCAGACTCAGCATCAGTTCCAGTTAGAATTATTCCGGCCTTTCTGAATCCTGACAGGATGGTTTCGGTTGTCTTTATGAGTCTGTTTACATCTTAAATTTTCAGTGGTACAGAAATAATGGTGTGGTCGACTGACATGATATAGACAGGACAGCGGCTCTTTCTGCAGGAGACATGTGCAGTAGAGAGCGAAGTGACAGTGGTACAGGAGGAACAGGAGAAGCAGATACTGACACACAAGCCTAGAGCGCCCTCTTGCAGGCTGTCAGTGTGAAAATTTTAATATAATAAGTCGGACACTGGAGTATAAGTCGCAGGACCACCCAAACCATGAAAAAAAGTGCCACTTATAGTCTGAAAAATACAGTACAATATACTGGGGGAAAACAAGATTTTGTAATTTACAAGAACACGTTAATTGATTTGAAGGGCCAATATTGCTCTATTTTCTGCTCTGTTATAATGTTATTTCCTCGTCACAAACATGGAGTTTTGTTTTGTTTCATTCACACATGTTTAACACACAAACACTGCATATTTATGATGATTTTTTTTCTCAAACTGAAAACACTCTGAAAACACACTTTCACTAGAATCATTTGGATAATTTCAGCCCTGGAATTGCCAATCTCTACAGAATTAAAGGTAAAAAATGTTAACTTGAAACTTACCACTACATAAGAAAGTGTTACTCAAACATTCTAACATGGATTAAAGTCAGTTTTATGTCATGTAGGACCTTTAACTCAATCTAAAAAAAAATCTTCATTTGTTTGTTTTGCAGGTCTTTGTAAATTTTGCCCAGCACCAGCACGTAGACACAGCGTACGACAATAAGGTGGACACTTCAGATGAGCTCCCAACAGATGTGAAGACAAAAGAACCAAACAAGTTCAAAATGCGCATGTACAACTAGTATTTAGCATTTAAGTTGTCAAAGGTTTTTGTTTTAGTTGCTAAAAACTACAACTTTCGGCTACTTGAATTCTTGTTTACATGCAACACCAAGCAAAAAAACTACTGATTGTCTCACTGGATAAAATCAGCAATTTAGTACACTCAGTTACTAAATACAAACAAGAAACCCATCCATTTTGTAACATCGATTAAATAAATTCAATTGATTTTACCAATAAATTTTATTTTTTCTTTAAAATGTATACAGTACACATTTTGAGTAATACAGGAAATGAACAGAATTATGAAGTTTCTATAACAATGGATTTTCAAGACTGATTTCAAGACACAATTTACTGTCGGAGAGTATCAAATATGTTATTTTGAGTACTGTAGAAGTTCACAGACCGCCAACTATTCTGTTCAAAATGCATTGGTCATACTGACTTCACACTCCACATTTACATGAACTGACACTGTTATCATGTGCAATAATAACTCTATATTTATATCTGCAGTCTTTATATTGATATAATTGTACTTTTTGTATGTTTATGTGGCCAAAAATATATATATATATTTGTAATAGCTATTATTTTCTGATTTTATTTTGATGCTAAAGATTATTAAATTCTTATAACTTATTATTTTTCAGTGTGCGTTCTTTCTATTAATAATATTACTACTTTCTGCATTTAAAGTTGCACTGTGTAATTTTATGATAGAGGGGTCGTCTCCATGAAAATGTTTTTCTTACCTAAAAAGTTTCACAGTATGGTATTAAACATATGATGGGTATTATGTTTTAAATAAGAGTCATTTGTATGGCTAAAAATGCTTCTCCACAGATCTGGTGTGTAACTTGGAGATGTATAGGTTTAATGCCACACTGGGGAACATGCAGGTGAAGTAATAATCTCCATAGAGACAAGCAGGTGGATCTCCGTCAGAAAAGTTACATACTGAATTTGTGTATCATTCGTTCATTTGTTTTTCAAAATAAAACCAAAAATAAGAAAACGATAAACAGTTTTCTTCATTATTTGTTTCCAAAACCAAAATGAAAAAAAAAAACGGATAACTATTCATATTTTCAGTTTAAGATTTAAAGTTTAAATGAATAATGGAAAAAATTGATAACTGCCTTTTCCCATTTCCATGACTTTACCGGTAATGCTGGACTTTTGCGTCATATATGGACTGAACCAGGACTAAACTGGTCTCAGTCCTGGTCTGGTCCCAGTCTGGCCCTGGTCTCAGTTCTGATCAGTCGACAGTGTACGCAGGCACACCTCCGGGCCTGTCCTGACACTCAGTCCTGGTTTAATCCTGGTTTAGTCCTGTTTTAGTCCTGGTTCAGTCCGGCATCGCAGTTTAAATCATGAAAATGGGAAACAGCCGTTATCCGTTTTTTTCCATTATTCACTTAAACACAAAATCGAAAACTTTTTGGTTTTGGAGACAAATGATGAAGAAAATAGTTCTTTTTTCATATTTTTATTTTTGGTGTTATTTTGAAAAAAGAATGAATGAATGATACACAGATTATACTGCCCCTTTAACTTGAATCTTCAGTTTTAAAATTCCTTGAAAGTGCATAGGAGCCGCGGGGTGCCAGCAGGCAGACAGCATCACCGTGGGTTACTAAGTCGTGTCTGGGTCTGTGGGGGTGGAGACATTCTGCTGCTACATCCCAGAGAAATGTCAAGCACAAAATGTAAGTTCACATGGTTGTGCTACTATATAATTAGGAGCACATATTTCATTATATATTGAACTGTGCTAATGTTTGTATTTTTAAATTAATGATTGTATCTCGTGAACATGTTTCTCAGCCTGTGGTTCTCTGCTGGTCTGATTGACCCATTTTTATTTCCAATCATTTTTACTGTGACCCATTTCTTACTTAATTATGCACACACTTTTGAGATCATTTTTACAATTTTATGAAATAAGAACTTAATAATGTCTTTGAGCTTAACATAAATTTTATACAACCCAGTTTTGAAACACAGTAAAGATTAACCAGTAGGATTAAGGATAAGGATTAACCACTAGGAAAACGACTCATATTTTATCATTTCTGGTCTAAAGAGAAAATATCCTCTAGATAGAACAGAGATCACTCTTCACTAAAAAACAGTAGAACAGGGTTTTGAGTACTTGATCAATAAACAAAATGTAATATAATAAATATAATTAATTATCCACTGAGTTTCTTTGGATCTGCTTTTTTCAGATCAAGGTTTAGTTTGTTTTCACTGCTCTTGACTGCTCTCTACCTTTTGTCTTCCTCAGAGTGGTCACGTGATGTAACTGTGTCGTGTCTGGTCAGCTGATTTAGGCCCCGTCCACACTAGTACGTATTTGAATTGTTTTCGTTGCGGATGCAGTGTTCGTCCACACTAATCCGACTGAAAACGGCTTCAGAGACTAAATGATCTGGTCCCGCCAGCTCCCACGAAATCATCTGAGTACAGATCTGATCCAACACCGTGTGGACGCCTGAAAACGCTGATACTCTGATACGCTGATGTAGGTCTATGCACCACGAAATAACTAATTCACCGCCAAAACACTAAAAGGCTAGAATATATTCATATATACGGTCTATGCATATGACCTGCAAATGTATAATCTCTGAAAAGTTTCACATGAACCATCTCCAACACCAAACACAGAACAGACTCACCATAAGCAGAACACCCCTCTGTCACAGAAAGAACACTCATATTCCACTGAGTCACGTCCTTTAGTCCGACAGAAGCTGAACCGCATCGGCGCACAATAGCGAGCTGTTTTTTGAGCGCTCAGTTTATGCAAATTAGCCATGCGGTTTTAAGTTTCTTTTCTGTAAAACGTAAACAAATATGCTCAAAGCTGTGTGGATAAGGAAGGATTGCGGGCACAGAAACGACGTGTCAGATTGTTTCCGATACGGTGATACAGTGATACGCAGATTATTTTCAGTATAAACAGGGTCTTAAACAGGTTTTGGCGACTGCTTTCTTACCGGTGGAGGCAGGACACAAATAAAATCTTGGTTTGAAAAAAAAAAAATCTATTAAAATCAGTATAATGAATTAACTTATTTTAAACGTTCAGGAAATCTACACAGGAGGAAGGAGTAAAATGCACCAGGTAGCAGAAAAGTCCACCGTCGAATGTCTCCTTTGAGATGTTATTGCTTTGCCTGGAATGTTCCACCGTATGGCATTATACCTATCTGTCTCCATGGAGAGAAGCAGGTGACACCAGCAGGCCAAGTTACAGGTCAGAGCTGATCTCAGAGACTCACTGACAGAAAGAATGGATGCAAGTATTTTTGAGCAGTTAAAATGTAATGTATGTAAATGTATGTATGTATGTTGGATAAGTTTAATGCCATATTATGTAACATTTAACGCAAAGAAACAACTCTATTGAGAAGTTGCCTTTAACTTTAGGATGACAACTTTTGAATGGCTGGCTGTCCTAAAAGCTAACAGTTGGAAGGGTATCTCAAAGTCAGAGCCCGGCCACAGGTTTGTGCAGCAGGTCGACACATGTGAAACTCTTTAACATTGTGCAGAACTCCTGTGATAGCTGCAGAGGTTAATTGGGTGATTGGACGTCCTTCCCCTCCCCCGTTCTGCCTGGATGGACTTCAAATAAACACCCAAACGTTGTCTCCGTAATGTAATTAATGCTGTATCCATCTGGTATTAAGGAAATGCCACTCAGCAGCAATGGCGCGTGACGCTGGTGTGGGCAATGGATGGCTGGGTAAATACATAGAGCCAACATTGTGCGAGGCGAAGAGGATGAGTTTAGCATGGTTGGCTAGCTCAGATAGGCCGCTGTCAAGAGCTAAAATTACAAGCGCACTTCGTCAAAATGGCATTGTGAGAAACCTGGGGGTTACGGATGAATGGTAAGTTCAGAGGCTTTGAAAATGTCTTCAAAATATTACTAAAATGGAAGTCATTAAGCAGTATTCCCTGGTTTATTTAAAGGTGCGCTGCAAAACTTTACTGCGTGGAGGGTACACTACCTGCTAACGTTAATCTATTCATCTTATATTGCTGTTGTTTCTCCACCTAAAGTTTTACTGTACAGGTCTGCACGGGACAGAATTTTAAGTCCCGCTCCCGCCCGCTCCTGCAAAGAATTGTAATTTTCAGTCTCGCTGAACCTGCATCTGCTATATTTTGTCCCGCTCCCGCACGTAAGTCCCGCAGGATGGGAACCTTTGCTTTCTTAAGCTCAATCAAACACAGAGAAGCGAAAGGAATTGGGCTGCGTATGGGAAGAGGCGCGGTGGGCGGTCTGGCGGCATGGCTAAGTCCTGGCTAAATCTTGTTTTAGTCTTCTTTTAGTCCTGGTTTTGGACCTGTTTTTAGACCTGGTTTAGTTCTGATTTAGTGGCACAACCCAGGTGATGTACGGGACGGGGGGACGATCTGCATGGCGTATGGGATGGGAGGAACTCTCCGCGGGGATCTACTTTACAGTATAACTTTAACATCATAGTTTACTATTACTTCTGCTACTTACTGCTACTACTACTTCAAATGATTAGCCATACTACTACTATTCCTACTACATTCAATTTTTTTCTCTCTTGTTTCTGATCCAAACTGTAACACTACTACTACTACTACTACTATTATAACAACAACTACTACTACTACTATTATAACAGCAACTACTACTACTACTATTATAACAACAACAACTACTACTATTACTATTATAACAGCAACTACTACTACTACTATTATAACAGCAACTACTACTACTATTATAACAACAACTACTACTACTATTATAACAAAACAACTACTACTACTATTATAACAACAACTACTACTACTACTATTATAACAACAACTACTACTACTACTACTACTACTACTACTATTATACAACTACTACTACTACACAACTACTACTACTATTTATAACAACAACAACTACTACTACTACTACTACTATATACAACAACTACTACTATTATACTACAACAACAACTACTACTACTATTATAACAACTACTACTACTACTACTACAACACTACTACTATAACAACTACTACTATTATAACAGCAACTACTACTACTACTACTATTTATACAACAACTACTACTACTACTATTATAACAAACTACTACTACTACTATATACAACAACTACTACTACTACTACTACTACAACAACTACTACTACTATTTAACAAACTACTACACTACTATTATAACAGCAACTACTACTACTACTACTATTATAACAACAACTACTACTACTACTACTTATAACAACAACTACTACTACTATTATAAACAGCAACTACTACTATACTACTATTATAACAACAACAACTACTACTACTACTATTATAACAACAACTACTACTACTATTATAACAACAACAACTACTACTACTATAACAACAACTACTACTTCT